CAAATTGGTTTGCTTGCTGGTGCCCCAGCTCTGGAGTGGGGACTGACACAGCCCAGGGCTTTGCTACTGCAAGCAGATTGCAGCGAGACCACCCTCTGGGGCTCTGGTTGTGAAGCAGAGTTCAGGTCTCCCCACTAGGTCTCTGTCAGGCTTCTCTTTTCCCAGTCTTTTGGCCAGAGAGAGTAGACATTTCTCTCTCTCTCTCTCTCTCTCTCTCTCTCTCTCTATGTGTGTGTGTGTGTGTGTGTGTGACTGTTGTTTTCAGGTTACATGCCTCTTTGGCACCTGGTCTAGGGGTGTACAGGAGATAAAAAGAAAACTGAGGAAACTTCCCACGTTAGCATGCCTCAAGTGTCGAAGTTCCTAGCCAGTCCACCGCCTTCTTTCCTGCTTTCAGAGTCCCTTTATCATTGCTTGTTGAATAATTTTCTAGGGTTTATAGTTGCATTTGAAAGAGAGGAGCAGGGAAAAGTGAGTATGCATCATCTTGTTCCAGAACCAGAAGCCCCTAGCATAATTTTAAATTGCATTTCTTTTATTATGCTATCAGTGAGGCTGAGCATCTTTTGATAAGTTTTTAAATCATTTTAATTTCTTCTTCTGTATTTCATTTTCTGTGAACTATCTACTGATATTATTTGCCTATTTTCATATTGGTCTGGTGGTCTTTGATGCATTGATTTGTAAGAGCTGTTTTCATATTTGCTATGAGTTGCAGGTATTTTCCCTAGTTAAATGTTTATCTTTTGACTTTGACTTTGTTTATGGTATTTTTTGCCATGTAGTTTTTTTATGCAGTTAAATATATCAATCTCTTTAAAAGGCCTCTCCATTTCAAGATTTTCTTTTGAAATTCTCCATTTTTTCTTCTAGTACTTTTATGATTCATTTTTTGTTTTTAAATCTTTGGTCCACCTGGAATTCATTTTGGTGTAAGTGTGAGGTAGTGTATCTAGTTGTCCCAAAGCATTTATTGAATAGTCTGTCATTTCCTCACTGCTTTGAGATGCTGTCTCTTGTTTTTTAAATTTTATATCGTGCTAAAAACACAACATGAAATTTACCATCTTAACCATTTTTATGTGTACAGTTCAGTAGTGTTAAGCATATCACATTCTTGTGCAACAGATTTCTAGAACGTTTTCATCTTGCAAAACTGAAACTCTATACCTATTAAACAACAACTGTCCATTGAAATGTCACCATTTTATCATAAACTAATTTCCCGTCTTTGTTATTCTTGCCTGGACCGCTATAACAGCTTTCTAGCATCACCATAATTCCAATTTGTCATGCACACTATTGCCTGATTAATTTTCCTCAGGCAAGCTCTGACCACAAGACTCCTTTATTTAAAACCTTCAGGCTGGGCACAGTGGCTCATGCCTGTAATCCCAGCACTTTGGGAGGCGAGGTGGGACGATCACTTAGGCCCAGGAGTTGGAGGCTGCAGTGAGCTATGATTGCACCAGTGCACTCCAGCCTGGGTGACAGAGCAAGACTCTGTCTCTACAAAAATAAATAAATAAAATTAAAAAAATAAAACCATCAG